GTAGTGGAGTGGTGGAGGCTGACTCCATACCTGGGTAGTGGAGTGGTGGAGGCTGACTCCATACCTGGGTAGTGGAGTGGTGGAGGCTGACTCCATACCTGGGTAGTGGAGTGATGGAGGCTGACTCCATACCCGGGCTATGGAGTGGTGGAGGCTGACTCCATACCCGGGTAGTGGAGTGGTGGAGGCTGACTCCATACCTGGGTAGTGGAGTGGTGGAGGCTGACTCCATACCCGGGCTATGGAGTGGTGGAGGCTGACTCCATACCCGGGTAGTGGAGTGGTGGAGGCTGACTCCATACCTGGGTAGTGGAGTGGTGGAGGCTGACTCCATACCCGGGCTATGGAGTGGTGGAGGCTGACTCCATACCCGGGTAGTGGAGTGGTGGAGGCTGACTCCATACCCGGGTAGTGGAGTGGTGGAGGCTGACTCCATACCCGGGTAGTGGAGTGGTGGAGGCTGACTCCATACCCGGGTAGTGGAGTGGTGGAGGCTGACTCCATACCCGGGTAGTGGAGTGGTGGAGGCTGACTCCATACCCGGGTAGTGGAGTGGTGGAGGCTGACTCCATACCCGGGTAGTGGAGTGGTGGAGGCTGACTCCATACCCGGGTAGTGGAGTGGTGGAGGCTGACTCCATACCAGGGTAGTGGAGTGGTGGAGGCTGACTCCATACCCGGGTAGTGGAGTGGTGGAGGCTGACTCCATACCCGGGTAGTGGAGTGGTGGAGGCTGACTCCATACCCGGGTAGTGGAGTGGTGGAGGCTGACTCCATACCCGGTAGTGGAGTGGTGGAGGCTGACTCCATACCCGGGTAGTGGAGTGGTGGAGGCTGGCTCCATACCCGGGTAGTGGAGTGGTGGAGGCTGACTCCATACCCGGGTAGTGGAGTGGTGGAGGCTGACTCCATACCCGGGTAGTGGAGTGGTGGAGGCTGACTCCATACCCGGGTAGTGGAGTGGTGGAGGCTGACTCCATACCCGGGTAGTGGAGTGGTGGAGGCTGACTCCATACCCGGGTAGTGGAGTGGTGGAGGCTGACTCCATACCCGGGTAGTGGAGTGGTGGAGGCTGACTCCATACCCGGGTAGTGGAGTGGTGGACGCTGACTCCATACCCGGGTAGTGGAGTGGTGGACGCTGACTCCATACCCGGGTAGTGGAGTGGTGGACGCTGACTCCATACCCGGGTAGTGGAGTGGTGGACGCTGACTCCATACCCGGGTAGTGGAGTGGTGGAGGCTGACTCCATACCCAAGTTATGGAGTGGTGGAGGTTGACTCCATACCCGGGTAGTGGAATGGTTGAGGCTGACTCCATACCCAAGTTATGGAGTGGTGGAGGTTGACTCCATACCCGGGTAGTGGAGTGGTGGAGGCTGACTCCATACCCGAGTTGTGGAGTGGTGGAGGCTGACTCCATATCCAAGTTATAGAGTATAATTAATAATCACATTACCATGCCTGTGTATTTACATCAATATTTACAAAAATAAACACAGGTCCTAAGCCGGAGGCAACGCTTCTAATAGACCACATCTGCCTGGGTGCCCGCTCTCCCTTGCCTCGTGCGTAAACCACCTTTCAACAATTCAATATCAGAGGCGCGGGAGCAAACACCCATTACTTCAACCCTCAGCCAAAATAAAGAATGCGTTGGCTGGTGTTTACCAGCAATCCGCCTCCAGGTGGTGTTAAAAACCTCACCCTAGAGGAGCCTCGAACCCGCCACTCCCCCACAAAAAAAGTCCAGTGAAACGCCATCTATATCGCATGGCGAGGAAAGCCCAGCATGTTTTTCTTGCGATTAGTGTCAAAACCCTGAGGAATTAGGTGAGGTTCCCCGGGCAACAGAAAACGAGAGTGTCTATCCTCCCTCCCCCCTCACCATCACCGTCCCTTGGGTCTGTCCCCCCTAACCCAGCCTCTATCCCTGACACCTGTCAAGGAATATGATGAGAATAGTCAGGTAAAATAATGAGTGATGAATGGAGAAGGGAGCGATGAGTATACCGGTCTTGCTGATTAGAGTTTTAGCATACTATTCTGCCTCTCACTCTTCAGTAGACGGGAGTCCGCAGTTCATCAGTGTCCAGCTATAACTGAAGTAAAATTTCAGTCTTTTGTCCAGCTATAACTGAAGTAAATTATATTCTTTTGTCCAGCTATAACTGAAGTAAATTACATTCTTTTGTCCAGCTATAACTGAAGTAAAATTACATTCTTTTGTCCAGCTATAACTGAAGTAAAATTACATTCTTTTGTCCAGCTATAACTGAAGTAAATTACATTCTTTTGTCCAGCTATAACTGAAGTAAAATTTCAGTCTTTTGTCCAGCTATAACTGAAGTAAATTACATTCTTTTGTCCAGCTATAACTGAAGTAAAATTTCAGTCTTTTGTCCAGCTATAACTGAAGTAAATTACATTCTTTTGTCCAGCTATAACTGAAGTAAATTACATTCTTTTGTCCAGCTATAACTGAAGTAAAGTACATTCTTTTGTCCAGCTATAACTGAAATCAATTACGTTTCTCCACTACTCTGGCCACTAGCAAATTATTTCTAATGCTTCCACTTACCATCTAATGTATTCCATAATATTGCTATTGTGTGCCGTCTACCCTTTATTCGCAAAGTAAGAATCTGGGCGCTTTCGTATTGTTTCCAAACCTGTGTCAGAGACTAGCTGACCGGGCCAGGTGAGTAGCCCTTCCAGGTGTGTATACCATGTGAGTATCCCCCCAGGTGTGTATACCATGTGAGTATCCACCCCAGGTGTGGGGGTACCCAGCAACCCACACCCCCGCCCCTCTCACTCCATACCCAAAATCCCGCCCCTCTCACCTAATACCTCACACCCCTTCACCACACCCCCCTCACCCCCCACCTCTCACCCCTCTCCTATATCATGGGGTTGGGAGGGGGGGTTTACAAACTTGATACTGACCTTTATTTTTGGCGAACAGAGAACCCCAACCACTTCCTGATCAAATAAGATCGATCACGGCAGCCACACTGCTGCTGTAGTCAATCACTTAGCAATGGACACTGGAGTGTATACAATAAGTTCGGAGATCACCCTGTAATCGTTGTATACTCGGAAAGGGGTTCAACGACACCTTTATTGGGGAACGGTTACAAATTAGCCTTTTGGTCATGAATACACACCCCTTTCGAGCCGCCGTGACTCCCCCACAACTCTCCTTGTTCTGGGCTGATCTCCTAATTCCCCTTTACTATGTTTTTTCTGTTATGCAATTTGTAAACGCTCCTCTTTCTCTCTCTCTCACTTAGGAATCCTCAATAGGACAAGAGCAAAATCAGTTGCCATATAGACAGACATTTATTACAATGAAAATACATAAAACAGAACAAGAGAAAATAAACATGCAATATTACGGTACTATACCCTAGGCTGTTATAACCGTCAACTGTCTACTACCATAATCAAGTTAATATCATATCAAAACTCACCAAACAAACTGTACTAGGCTGCTGCTCAAATGTCGTCCTACAGCCTACTGACTCTTCACTGCTTGGAGTTGTATTATTGGAATATAAAAATATCTCCAATCAAGAAAAAAATCAATTTCTAACCTTACACTGCGTCTTATATGCCACTGTGTGATCAAGCACTCCCTCATACACATCAAGGTGTCCATACACTTCTCTGTTCTCCGTCCTGAGGTCCACCACTAAGAACATCTGTCCGGGGCCTCAAAAGTCAGGTCGGTACTCGTGCAGTCCTTCCAATATCTGCTGCACCTGAAGTCCCACTCCAATGCCTGTGAAGTTCCTCTATGCGGCTTCACAAAAGAAACGTGTAGCTCTCCTACACTCGAAGTTCCACTCTACCACTTGAAGTTCACCCACATAATCTTCCTCCGACACCAAGCTCCTCCACGAACTTCTTCCCACACAAACCGCAGAAATGACGATGGACAACACTAGCTCACAACGCCTCAAGTATGGCGCTCAATGAGGTCAGTCACAAAAATCCTTCAGGACAGTCTCTCAAGGCTTCTTTAAGTCCTGACTTGAGTTTACCAAGTCGCCTGGCAGGCTTCACGCAGACACACCAGCTACCTTTCCTCCACTCGAGGATATAACACATTAGGGTCCACACAGGAGTACGACCGTCCTCTAGGCTTCAGGCCATTACTAATATCTTCATAATTACTGAGAAATGATATACGTCGCATCCTGGACAGCTTCCTCACCAGTTGTACACTGAAGCCTTCACTCAAACCCTTTACCAATAACCATTTTCATCTACCTTCCCAGGAAGCAGCGACGTACGTCCATTCCTGACGACTATAGCAACTCAAGTGACGCGTCACGACCTCCGTCGGCGTCACGTCACGTCACAAAACATCTACATCTCACTTTGACTATCTTCTATAAGATGCTCGCCCTCTACTTGTATTCTTTTTAATCATAATTTACTGACGTTTGCTCAACAGACTTCCCCTGTCTCCTACTCTAGTCTGGTGGACAGAATAACTCTTACATGACAGGTCCACTTCACTATAGTGAAGTGGATCTGCCAGGTAGATCCAGGTAGACTATAGTCTACCTGGGGTTAGTAAAACCTAACACCCCATAACGCTCACACCTCACCCCACACCTCTCATCCCACACCCCTCAGCCCACACCACTCACCCAACACCCTACACCCACTCCCCACATCACTCGCTCCACACCCCTCACCCCACTAACCTGACAAATCCTTCTATCGTTTTTCTTCCCTTAAACATTCCATTTCCCCCCCTTATCAACCTCCCCTAACACCCATCACCCCATTTACCCTTCAGTTACCCCTATTAGCTACCGTAGAAAATCCCATTTTCACCAATTTCAAAGCTTTACCCTTTCTCTCCATGCCTCACCGACCTCACTCTCAAAGGGGTCGCGACTCCCCTTTCTCTCCCCTCTCCCCTACCCTTCCCTACGTAGTCTAAGCCTATTTCCTTCCTATTAACTCTATTACATTATCGGCATCACTGACAGAGCAGGAAAATTAGCACAAAATTGTAGACATCTTGTTGCAATGTTATGCGTAATAGCAACTGGTGACCTGGAGCATGAGCATAGCGGCCTGGAGCATGAGCATAGCGGCCTGGAGCATGAGCATAGCGGCCTGGATCATGAGCATAGCGGCCTGGAGCATGAGCATAGCGGCCTGGATCATGAGCATAGCGGCCTGGATCATGAGCATAGCGGCCTGGATCATGAGCATAGCGGCCTGGATCATGAGCATAGCGGCCTGGATCATGAGCATAGCGGCCTGGAGCATGAGTATAGCGGCCTGGATCATGAGCATAGCGGCCTGGATCATGAGCATAGCGGCCTGGAGCATGAGCATAGCGGCCTGGAGCATGAGCATAGCGGCCTGGAGCATGAGCATAGCGGCCTGGATCATGAGTATAGCGGCCCGGAGCATGAGCATAGCGGCCTGGAGCATGAGTATAGCGGCCCGGAGCATGAGTATAACGGCCTGGAGCATGAGCATAGCGGCCTGGAGCATGAGCATAGCGGCCTGGATCATGAGCATAGCGGCCTGGATCATGAGCATAGCGGCCTGGATCATGAGCATAGCGGCCTGGAACATGAGCATAGCGGCCTGGAGCATGGACATAGCGGCCTGGAGCATGGGAATAGCAGCCCGAAGCACGAGCATAACGACCTGGAGCATGGGCATAGCGGCCAGGAGCATGGGCTTAGCGGCCCGGAGCATGGGCATAGCGGCCTGGAGCATGAGTATAGCGGCCCGGAGCATGAGCATAACGGCCCGGAGCATGGGCATAGCGGCCGCATGAGCATAGCGGCCTGGAGCATGAGTATAGCGGCCCGGAGCTTGGGAATAACGGCCTGGAGCATGGGCATAGCGGTCCGAAGCATGAGCATAGCGGCCCGGAGCATGAGCATAGCGGCCCGGAACACTATGTTCACCAGGGCCTGTCATGGTGGTTCCTATAACCACTATATACAGAATATAGAAAATTTGATCATTTGGACTGTTCCAAAAGTTCAGCAGAGTTCAAATATGTACAAAATTAGGCCCAAAAAGTTCCAGATGTTAGGCCTAGGAGAGCTTATTTAGGCCAAATACAAATTAGCTTTTTGGTTGAGCCGTGTCACTTCTACTTGACACTTTCAGAAATCCAGAAAATTCCAAGTTTTCCAAGAAATTCAGAAAATTCCAAGTTTTCCAAGAAATTCAGAAAATTCCAAGTTTTCCAAGAAATTCAGAAAATTCCAAGTTTTCCAAGAAATTCAGAAAATTCCAAGTTTTCCAAGAAATTCAGAAAATTCCAAGTTTTCCAAGAAATTCAGAAAATTCCAAGTTTAAAACTTGGATTTTTTTCTGGGTTCCCAGGTAAATAGGTGAATAGGTAAATATGTAAGAAAGTAAATAGGCAATTTGTTTTTTTCAGTGATAGGTTGGATTAGTTGTGACCATCTTACACCTCCTAATGGGAAGATCCAAGTCTCCTGTAAAGGGTTGGATCCTGTTTGATGCTGACCTTTCTAGGGCATCTAGGCCTAGATGCTCTGCTCCTTGTCTGCTGAGAAAATTGTCGACGTCTGCTTCTTGGGGTTTGTTATGAGTATAATGACAAGGTTCTTGATTTTTTTTTATTTTGATGCATAACTACTCAACTACTTAATTGGTTGATCTTAACGATTCTGTGAAGGTGAGACTTTTTACAGACCTATTTTTCCGTGCGCTCAAATTCCTCTATCATATCTTGTTATAATGTAGAATCCAAACATGTCACGCAGTCTTTGATGTTATCTTCTTGAGGTTATCTTGAGATGATTTCTGGGCTTTTTTAGTGTCCCCGCGGCCCGGTCCTCGACCAGGCCTCCACCCCCCGGAAGCAGCCCGTGACAGCTGACTAACACCCAGGTACCTATTTTACTGCTAGGTAACAGGGGCAATGATAAAAGACTTTACTCCTCAGATGTTCAAACGTTACTCTTCAACTTTGGTTATTTGAGTGGGTTTGTTACTGGTGTATTTTGTCTTCCAGGTGTGTGGAGGTTTTGTGTTTGTTCTGACCTGGATTGTTTGTTTGTTTCAGTGTTGTTGTTGTGTGATGTAGTTGTTGCAGAGCTGTTACGCTATGCAGTTGTAGTGGTGAGTTAAGTGTGTGCTTGACTTGTTGTGACTCAGGTGTGTGTTTGACTTGTTGTGACTCAGGTGTGTGTGTTTGGCTTGTTGTGAGTCAGGTGTGTGCTTGACTTGTTGTGACTCAGGTGTGTGCTTGGCTTGTTGTGAGTCAGGTGTGTGCTTGACTTGTTGTGACTCAGGTGTGTGCTTGGCTTGGTGTGAGTCAGGTGTGTGTTTGACTTGTTGTGACTCAGGTGTGTGTTTGACTTGTTGTGACTCAGGTGTGTGTGTTTGACTTGTTGTGACTCAGGTGTGTGTGTTTGACTTGTTGTGAGTCAGGTGTGTGCTTGGCTTGTTGTGAGTCAGGTGTGTGTTTGACTTGTTGTGACTCAGGTGTGTGTTTGACTTGTTGTGACTCAGGTGTGTGTTTGACTTGTTGTGACTCAGGTGTGTGTTTGACTTGTTGTGAGTCAGGTGTGTGCTTGGCTTGGTGTGAGTCAGGTGTGTGCTTGACTTATTGTGAGTCAGGTGTGTGCTTGACTTGTTGTGAGTCAGGTGTGTGCTTGACTTGTTGTGAGTCAGGTGTGTGCTTGACTTGTTGTGAGTTAGGTGTGTGTTTGACTTGTTGTGAGTCAGGTGTGTGCTTGACTTGTTGTGAGTCAGGTGTGTGTTTGACTTGTTGTGAGTCAGGTGTGTGCTTGACTTGTTGTGATTCAGGTGTGTGCTTGGCTTGGTGTGAGTCAGGTGTGTGCTTGGCTTGTTGTGATTCAGGTGTGTGCTTGGCTTGGTGTGAGTCAGGTGTGTGCTTGACTTGTTGTGAGTCAGGTGTGTGCTTGTCTTGTTGTGAGTCAGGTGTGTGCTTGACTTGTTGTGAGTCAGGTGTGTGCTTGACTTGGTGTGAGTCAGGTGTGTGCTTGACTTGTTGTGATTCAGGTGTGTGCTTGGCTTGGTGTGAGTCAGGTGTGTGCTTGGCTTGGTGTGAGTCAGGTGTGTGCTTGGCTTGTTGTGATTCAGGTGTGTGCTTGGCTTGGTGTGAGTCAGGTGTGTGCTTGACTTGTTGTGAGTCAGGTGTGTGCTTGTCTTGTTGTGAGTCAGGTGTGTGCTTGACTTGTTGTGAGTCAGGTGTGTGCTTGACTTGGTGTGAGTCAGGTGTGTGCTTGACTTGTTGTGAGTCAGGTGTGTGCTTGACTGGTTCTGCCAGTTGCATTACCACGTTTTTCCTGAGTACCCTTCTTCAGGCTCTAAGGGGATTCTTGAAGATCCTTCTGCAAGGTCTTCTTCAGGACTGGTAAAAGAGTCACCATTATTCAGTTATCACTCCATCTGTAGCGCTCTGTGGCAGTGCCATTATACAGTTATCACTCCATCTGTAGCGCTCTGTGGCAGTGCCCAGCCACAGATTACATGCCAAGATCATGACACATACAGACACACAGACACAAAGACACAGGACACAGGACACATTCACATATTCCGGAACTGTATCAATCCCAATCAGGAAAACCATCTGTCTAATATACCTTCCCCCCTTGTCCTGTCCTCATCCCTCAAATCCTTTCCCAAAATCCCAATCCTCCTTTCCTCTACCCCCCTCCCCCCTCCCCCACCCAACCGGCCCAAGGCCCCCCCAGACCCCGCCGCCGCCGCCGCCGCCCCGGAGCAGGCTTCCAGCCCGGCGCGTCCCGTATTTTCTAAAATGCGTTAGTTTACAAAGACGCAGACTTCAAAGAAAGATCCCGTCGTGCACATTAATAGTGTGTCGCTGGCGGATGTCTGGACCACCAGGGCCGAAGACTCAGCCCGTAGGTAAGGGTCATAATCCCTCCTGCCAGACCTAGGGGCGGTCGCCCATGACACCATGTGAGGGTTGACACGGTGTGGCCCCGACTGACCCACTCCACTTGTGTTTAATAACCATTATGGGAATAGCGTAATTATGTTAGGGAAAATTGCTTTCGCGCGATCCTGTGTCCGACAGAGGGCTCGATAATGAGTTTTATTTCGCTAAGTTGGAAGGTTTCATTAAGTTTACGGAAATCTGAGATGATATTTGCATGAGGAGGTGAAGATGTGTGTGTGTGTGTGTGTGTGTGTGTGTGTGTGTGTGTGTGTGTGTGTGTGTGTGTGTGTGTGTGTGTGTGTGTGTGTGTGTGTGTGTGTGTGTGTGTGTGTGTGTGTGTGTGTGTGTGTGTGTGTGTGTCTGTGTGTGTGTGTGTGTGTGTGTACTCACCTAGTACTCACCTAATTGTGCTTGGGGGAGGGGTTGAGCTCTGGCTCTTTGGTCCTGCCTCTCAACTGTCAATCAACTGGCGTACAGGTTCCTGAATCTGGAATTAAGTGTGTCATATCAGCACTTAAAACTGTGTATGGAGTCAGCCTCCACCACATCACTTCCTAATGCATTCCATTTGTCAACCACTCTGACACTAAAAAAATGTTTTCTAATGTCTCTGTGGCTCATTTGGCCACTCAATTTCCACCTGTGTTCCCTAGTGCGTGTGCTCCATGAGTTAAATAGTTTTCACCTACCCTATCAATTCCTTCGAGAATATTGTAAATGGTGATCATGTCCCCTCTAACTCTTCTGTCTTAAAACGACGTGAGGTTTAATTCCCGTAGCCCGTAGTCTCTCCTCGTAGCTCATACCTCTCAGCTCGGGTACTAGTCTGGTGGCAAACCTTTGAACCTTTTCCAGTCTAGTCTTATGCTTGACAAGATATGGACTCCATGCTGGAGCCGCATACTCCAGGATTGGTCTGACATATGTGGTATACAAAGTTCTGAATGATTCCTTACACAAGTTTCTAAAGACCGTTCTTATGTTTACCAACCTGGCATATGCTGCTGGTGTCATCCTCTTGATATGGGTTTCAGGGGACAGGTCGGGTGTGATATCAACCCCCAGGTATTTCTCTCTCTCTGATTCTTGAAGAATTTATCTCCCAAATGATACCCTCGTATCATTTGGGTATTGGGTATCTTGATACCTCGTATCAAGTGTAGGGACCTCCTGCTCCCTACACTTAACTTCTTTACATTACATTTGCTTGGGTAAAACTCTAACAACCATTTGTTGGACCATACATTCAGCTTGTCCAGGTCTTCTTGAAGCCTCAAGCTGTTCTCCTCTGTCTTAATACTTCTCCTAATTTTGGTATCGTCAACAAACATTGAGATAAATGAGTCTATACCCTCTTGGAGATCATTTACGAATATCAGAAACAGGATGGGTCTGAGTACAGAGTCCTATAGGACTCCATTGGTGACTTCACACCAATGTGAGGTCTCACCCCTAATTGCAACTCTCTGCTTCCTACTGGAAGCAGAGAGCAGTACTCCCTTATTCACTGGAGCACCCTAACACTTACTCCTGCCTGTTGCTCTAGCTTATGCACCAGCCTCTTATGGGATACTGTGTCAAAGGCTTTCGGACAGTCCAAGTAAATGCAGTCCGCCCATCCTTCTCTTTCTTGCCTAATCAAGAAATCTTTCTTGATTCGGCAAGA